GATATATGGCCTTAACCCTATTAGTGGCAGGCTCCTGGCTACCCCTATTAGTGGCAGGGGGGGGGCTGTTTACGACCCCCCCCCTTGATATCTCGAGATCTAACGGGCCGATTTTCAAAATTCAAACGGCATTCGATTTCCCTCAACGTGATCTACATTTCTTAAAAATAAAAAAAATGTCAATAGGGGGGGGTAGAGGGGGGTAAAAACGGGCAAATTGCAGATACATTAATTCGGTAATTCGGTATCTTATTGAAAATCATGTGACCAACTGATAGATCAACGATTTCTGATGTCTTGTGACAATGCCGATATGTCGCTGTGCAAACGTTTGAATTGACCTGATCTTGTGTGTACCTAACATCACTGTACTGAGATTTTCGCCTATGTTGGAGCTACTGTACTAATCACCGAATACGTATGTGTGTGTGTGTGTTTGTGTTATTTACATTTCCCTGTAATGCCCACCATCTGGTGGTTAGTGGAAATAACCGAAGTAATAATAATAATAATAATTTTAGGCTTTATCACGGCCAGGTTTCTGAACCAATCTTAACGCAACTTTTGCCGATCGATAGAGAATGAACCAGGAATTCACATGGATCCTAAAAATCCTATATATAAAAATCCTAAAAATATGCATTTTCAAAAATCATAGGCGGACACAGATCATTGAGATTGGGGGCACACAAAAAGTATAGTGAATAAGTTTTTTGTTGGTACTGTTTCTAAAAAGGGTGGTAATGGTCTTGTTATTACGGAGCGAGCGAAGCGAGCGTAGTCTTTCCTTAGATTAACGGAAATTTCTGAGTATGAGCGGCCGGCCGGCCGGCCGTGGTCACGCTTTTGCGAGGCTTATATCTCAGCAACCACTTGACCGATTTACACGCGGTAATTTTTGTAGGGTAGCTTCATTCTTTCTACCAAGTATTGGACTATTCCCGATGCATATGGGTGACCCCTTATGCACGTGCCACGTGCAAAATGAAGAGGTGTCACTTCTGTAATTGTTGCAATATCTCGGTAACTACTGAGCCGATTGCGCTGAAAGTTGGCATGTAGGTAGGCACCCACTAGGCAATGCATATCCATGTGCCAGAATTGGGGTGCTGCTGCACGTGCGCACGTGCAGGGGTCGATTCCAGATCTCGAGAACGGCTGGACCGATGGCGCTCAAATTTGGCACATGGTTAGGGACCGGTTAGTAGGGTGCCGTGCAAAAGTCAGTTGGGACCCATTTTGCACGTGCGCACGTGCAGGGTGCCGCTTCCAGATCTCGAGAACGGCTGGGCCGATTGTGCTCAAATTTGGCACATCGCTAGAGACCGGTTAGTAGGGTGCCGTGCACAAGTCAGCTGGAGGTACACCGTCGAAATTTCGCACGTGCAAGGCTCACCCTCTCGCTCGCTCCGTTAGTCACCCCAAAAGGCGTTATACTGGTGTTACAATTTTCTTATGAGAGAACGACTACAATTGTATTGGTCATGCATAGGCGGTGTCAGGGCACCTATGCTGGGAGGTAAAACATAACCCCCCCCTTTTTGGACGCCTGAATCCGCCTATTATAGCAAAAACGTGTCAAAAGAGGATGCACAATAACTTTGTATATGTTATCACATGATACCTTTCATTCACTGTTCGTAAAACTGGTGCAGCATCGTGATCTTCGCCCAAATGACTCGCTTCACGAATAGGACCCCCAATTCCCAGTGCTCTGGATCCGCCCCTGGCAAAGTTATGAACTTGAAATTTTCAGGGAATGTGCCCAAATTAGTTTTAGGAAAAGTCAGAAAATTTCAGCATCGTAGCTTCAGCGGTTTCGGAGATATTCCCAAAAAACCTGAGGGGTGGATGAAAACAACCCCTGCCACTAATAGGGTTAAGAACCACTGGTTTGGGCGTTTGGAACTTAATTCAGGGGTGCCGGTTGAACTCAGAGGTGGCAGTGAGGGGCCCTCAGCTGGGCACCGGTTTGGGGCTTTCACAGCCACCGGTGAGGGCCCTCGTAGGCGCCGTTGTGGGGGCCTTTAACCATTGGTTTAGGGGGTCATCACAGGCGTGTGTGGAACCCTTAGAGCTGCTAGTCCCTGATAAGCCGGTAAGGCCCCTCAGAGGCCGGCAAGTAGCTCTCAGAGGTCGCCAATGGGCCCTGAGAGGCCGGCAAGGGACCCTCAAATGCCGACAAGGAACAATAAAAAGCCGGTGTGTGGCTCCTATGGAGAGAAGTGTGGCTATTCGGAGCACACTGGTGTTCTTTCGAGCCCTGTGGGGCCAGCTTCTGAGTCGAAAATGCCAGCGTGGACCCTCAGCCGCCAATTGGCGTCGCAGGGCCCCTCGGGCCCGAGAGGCCCCCTGATCCAATGGGGGCACGTGCCCCCTGCTCCCCCCCCCCCCTCCGGGTACAGATAGAGAATGCAATCGGCGGTACGGGACACAATTGCAATCGTTCCTTCTCCCGTCGCGAGGTCGCCCATCCGACCCGTATCCCAAGATTGTCAACCCTGGGGCTCGGGTCGGCAATGTATCGGCAAGGAAATCAGCTTTAGGTGGGTAAAAAAGTTATTAAGAGTCATTAGTTGTCGTTACGTTCAGTAATAACAACGATAAAGTGCCAAATGTACCCGACGTACGGCTTGGAGCCGGGCGCCGCGCGGTCTCCACCAGTGACGTCACGCTAATGCTTAGAGACCGGTCCATTGGAAATTGCGGGATGATTCTACCTCTCTTATACGGCCTTGTTTGTGGGGAACACATGGCCAGTTAACCCATTCAGTTAAAGGGACTATCCCACCTTCTAAAATGTTGTTAAAACCAGTTGAATTGTGCCCGACTTTATAGATTGGATGACCAGGAACACGGTTCTGGCATTTATTTTTCATTAAACATCTTAGGCTTCCCATATTCCAAACACAAACTTTCAAATATGTGACGTCACAGCCCAAAATTACCTCCTTCCCCAGGCCACATTACTGCCATAAAGCTGATTCTTTTTACTCTGTAGGCACCACAACAAAGTTCAGACCAAGTTTTAAGCGATTTTTCAACGAACAAGCCCATTTAAATCAGAATGACTAAACGAGGTGACGTCACACTAACGGTCGCTCCATGTTGAAGATAGGGCCTTGTACAAGGCCCATTTTCAAATGAAGGGAACGAATTTCTTCAACACCAAGAGGCCGCGGGGGTTGCAACCTAGATAGATGTGGTTTCTGAACCTCGCCGCAAACTTGGCTATCTCAACTCAAACCCCATGTTAAAGGTGGGATAGTCCCTTTAAAGGGACTATCCCAGGGAAATTTAAAGGGAAGCTTGCAAACGCGCGGCTAATGCGAGCCGACATACGCCGAATCGCGATTCCGGCCAAACATGGTCTCGGAAAGTAGGTTACAGGTCAAAGGTCATTTGGGTCAGGGTCATGAAATTTTCAGGGTGGGTGTAAAATTGATCAATGCGAGGGTGCTGAAAGCTTCGTCGCGATCGGCCGCTTTTTACGCGAGTTATTCGCGAAAAAACTTTAGAGGGTTGCATCAAGAGGGCCCCCTGTGCCGGCGATGGTTAAGTTGAAAGTATTAATTTGGTTCAAAATGATGATTTAGATAACCTAGTTATTTAAAGCTAAATATCTTATGACGAGAGCGGTTGGCATTTTTGGTATGCAGTGTTATTCATTGAAAACCGGGCGGAGCGTTTGAGTCTTTAATTTAGTGGTCGCCGCTTACTTATCATGCGGCATACACGCCGCACATAACCGCCAATGCCGCAATGTAGCTTAGGTTTCGAAGTAAGCATTTAGTCTCACCCGATATAGGTAATAAGCAGATGAAGAGATGCAGGTGGATTGATGACCGGCAAGCATTTGTGTTTTACGAGGTTACGCCTTTCTGAAAACGTCTGCGTTTGGCCTTCTACGGGCCCGGCCGGCCGGCCGGCCCCGATTGGCGGTCCACCAGTAACGTCACCGGTAGTGTTAAGCTGTTTGGCGAATAATACATGGGAAGAACCGGGACGAAATCCCCCTGATCAACCTGTAGCCGACTGTACCAACGGCCTAGCAGGGGCACTACAGGCCCGCCAGGGGCACCACAGTCCGCAGGCCTGTCAGAGGCACCACAGACCTGAAGCTCTGAAAACCGTCACAGGTTGTATCGCGCCTGGTTGGGCTGCTCATATGTAAATTTACTCCATTGTTCCCAATGAACTCGCACGCTTGCCTCGCTCACTTGTAAAATACCTACATTTTATGCACACTTCTCAGGCGAAAACATCAAATTTGTACAACCAATTTTCCACTTTTCCACAATTTCTAAGACCGTGAAAGAGAAGCCCACCTGCAAAGGGGCCCGTTTGCAAGGGGGGCCATCGGACCACTGTGCCTCTCCCATCGAAAGGCTCTGGCTTCGCCCGTCTGTGTGGTAGATAACCCTTTTGTATCATTTTGTTAATTTTTGATTTGGCTCATTTTAGGGCAATGGCCTAGTGTGGATCGAATGGGCAGATGCCAGAAGACGTCCGAAGGTTCCTGCAAGAACAGCTGCAGGTCGACCAGGAGCATGGGCAGGCTCAGCCAGGCGCAGATCAAGAGTCGTCCTCGACGGGACTGAAAGTGGACGACGCAGATTGGGGTAAACTTTGATTCAGGCCCACGGTTTCCAAGGTCAAAGGCCAGTGCGTTTCATTTAACTCACGATGAAATTTTTTCTTTATTTTCACCGGATTATTAACCATCACCAGACTATGAGAAGTTGTTCCATCACGCAAACGAGTTTTCTTGCGACTGCTCACAACACCACTTGGAAAGATATGAAAATTAAAGCTTGGGTAACGTCCATGTCCAATAGCCTTTTTAACTTAAAAACACTTCATGTGTTTATTTATTGCCTAGGAAATCACAATATTTTATAGCTCGTATGCTCGATGAATATTCAGTATTTTTAGGTCGTATGCTCGGTAAAGATTTATTTTGGGTGTTGCAACTTCGTACCATGATGGATTGTGTAGGCGGCGCCGCTGCGGCGCGCGGTGGAACGGGGGTGCTTGCTCCCAGTCGTGCGCCGCTCCGCTCAAGCCGGCTCGCTCTTCCCTCTGCCCCGGTTGCCTCCCCGCTCTGCCTGCCTGGAGAGCCGGGACGGCCGGGACTACCTCCCCTCGGTTTGCGAGTAGCATCGCCCATGGTCCTAGAGGTGGACATTTTCGTATGGCTTTTACTCTGTTTGTACTTGATTTTGCTGTACTTTGCGTTTTTCCGTTGTATCATTTGTACTATGTTGATTGTCGTAAACGACCAATTTGAAATGTATCGCGTGATTATTTGCTAGTTTGAATATTCGATGGCTCATTGTTCGTTGGCGTATTGTTAGAAGGCAATTTCTGCAATACTTCTCAGTACTCGTTTGTTGTGTGACGTGCCACCCGGCTCTATGCCCGGCCATGATTCTGGATCATTCGCGCTGATGGCGGCAGAGGCGGTCGTGTCGTGTCTGTGTTTGCGCGAGCGATGGTAAGTGGCTGAGCAGTTGTATTTCACTATGATGCGTTAAAATGTGTGATCTGTTAGCTCGTATAGATATTCTGTTGTCAATTTCATATAAGACGTTTCAGCGCCAATATGATTAAAACCGAGACTATGATATTTTGCACTGAGGTAAACGACAATGGACCTGACTGGTGTCTGGATTCGTAGATATGGCGTCGGAGATGTGAGGCTGGCTTGGGAGGATGCCTCTGGATGTATGGACGTTAGCCGCGAAGCGACCCAGAAGGCACATTTGTCGGTAGGTCACGAAATGTCACGAATGTTAGGAAAGGTCACGAAATGTCACGAATGTTAAGAAAGGTCACGATTAATTTGATGTCAGTACGCAGGGATGCTGTGTTATCTGTGGTAGGGCCCCTCACGGCCTGTTATGGTGTATCATTTATTGGTACGTTTAAGCCCTCTTTGTTTGCCCACCCCTTTCGTTTATTTATTGTACGTTTGGTGACGCTTATTTATACGTCTTTTGATTTGTGTATTGTGTTTCGTTCCCAGCAACGACTGTTACTCTCGAGATCGTGTGGGCTATCCACTCAGCTCACTCGGTCCAATAAACGGTCCGTTAAGACATACTGGATTTCGACACGCTGGGTCTGGAGATGCGGCTACAGTTGCGACAAGTGTCGACAACGGCGACGAGCTGCCCACGGCAGAGTAGCGACTTCTGCAGCTACGCGTGAAGGCAGCTCGACCACCCACCGGGAGGACCTCGCAGCACGCTCACACCGGCTGGTGGCTCTGCTGGCCTCGTGAGGCGGCTGGTTTGCTGCTGCTGGCTGGTGCTGGTGAGGACTGAGTCGCCCCTGCTCATCAGTGAGTGCTCTACTTCTGCTGATATTTGGGGTAAGCGGGCTGTATGGTACTTGCAGTGGCGCAGTGACATTCTGATAAACGGTTCACAAAAACAGTGACTCTGGAGGCAAACTGGTGATCAAATGTGAACTATCTTGCAAAGTGTGTGCCTTCATGGTAAATGAGTCGAAGAGAACAGTATCTTGAGAAGCGACAGACACTTAGTGCATCAGTGTGTGATCATTTATTGTGCTGTGAGTTATGCTGAGTATGGTTTCCATTGTGTTTGCGTTCGCTGATCTACTAAGGGGTTAAGGACAACCTGTTGATTGATAGAGACTCCAGGATAGCATTGTTGCTGGTTAGTTCCAGTTTCCAGAAGAGCTTTCTAATTTGATTTGTGGTAGTTGGTTGTGCCCAGGCTCGGTCACGAGATGGATACGCTCGGCAAACTAAGGGTTCATCAGCTGAAGGCTGAGCTGTCGAGAAGAGGTGAAGATAGTAGAGGACCTAAGGCGGTGCTGGTGAATCGTTTGGAGGACATCCTGAAAGAGGAAGGCGTTGATTTGGCAACATTTGTCACAGAGTTTGGTAGATCCGAACACACTGATCGTGTAGGCGGTGTAGGATGTGATGGTCAGACTGGTGAAGGAGCTCCGCCGCTAGATGTTCCGGAAGAGCTAGACAGAGCGGGTGTCCGTAGTCGGGAAGTCGCTCCAGGCCAGGAGGCTGGTGGGTCGCTCTCTGTTGACCACTTTGATGCGTCTGGTACCGGGCCTGGCACTGGAAGCCCTGCTGAATCGGTGAAGTCATCCCGTTCTTCGTCAACAAGGGCATCAAGCAAGGCCACAGTTGCTTCAGAACGGGCCTTCGAGGCAGCAAGAAGAGCGGGACTGCATGCTAAGGCAGCAGCGTTGAGGAAAAAGCATGAGCTCGAAGACATGCAAGAGCAGTTGAGAAGAAGGAAAGAGGAACTGGAAATTCAAGCTGAACTGGATGAAAGCCTGGCAAGGGAAGGTGTATTGGCTCAGTTTGATAAGGAAGAAACCTTCAAGAGAATTGAGACATTAACGCCACAAGAACAAGAGAGCAGAGCACAAAAACAAGAAGAAAGAACAACACAAGAACAAGAAGAAAGAACAACACAAGAACAAGAAGAAAGAAGGACACAAGAAGAAGAAGATGAAGAAAGAGCACATGATCCAAGAACACGTGTACAAGAAGAAAGAGCACAAGAACCAAGAAGAACACGTGTACAAGAAGAAAGAGCACAAGATCCAAGAACACGTGTACAAGAAGAAAGAGCACAAGATCCAAGAACACGTGTACAAGAAGAAAGAGCACAAGAACCAAGAAGGACACGAGTACAAGAAGAAAGAGCATACGAACAAGGAAGAAAAGCACAAAATCAAGAAAGTGAACGAAGGAGAGCAAGCAGGGATGAGCCTGGAGCTCAGCAGCACGGGGACTCCACACAGGCTCTCCTAGCCCATCTGGAAAGAAGTCAGCTGCCCAAGGCTGAGATACCGATATTCACTGGAGACGTTACGAAGTACAGATCTTTTATACGTGCATTCGACAGTCGGATCTCCTCCAAAACTGATGACGACGAAGAAAAGCTGTACTTTCTCGAGCAATATACAAGTGGTAAGCCACAGGACATAATCAGGGGCTGCCTGCACATGACGACTGGATCGGGCTACCTGGAAGCCAGGAGACTCCTTGATCGGAGGTACGGAGACGAGGACTCAATCACAAGTGCGTTTGTGGATATGCTTGTGGAGTGGCCACAAGTAAAACCAGGAGATCTGGAAGGAATGGATCGTTTGTCACTGACGCTGAGGTCTTGCAACAACGTAATGAGTGGAATATCACCCGGAGCAAGGGAGACAGACCACCCAAAGACCATGCGGAAAATCATCGAGAAGCTGCCCTACAACCTGCAGGACCAGTGGCGCCGCCTAGCGGACCATATCCATGAACAGGAGCACAGACGAGCGCGCTTTGAGGATATCGTCGACTTTGTCGAGAGAGAAGTAAGGATCCAGACGAACCCGATGTTTGGTCGTCAGCACAGTGTCAGCAGGACAAGAGAACAGGAAGGTCAGCGGAGAAAGGTTCAAACTGTATCGGCAACAGTCATCGAGCCAGGAGCTCAGCAGCGGCGGGGATCGCTCAAGTGTTTGTTCTGTTCAAAGGCACATTACCTCGACCAATGTGAAGAGTTCAGAGGAAGGGCACCTCATGAGAAGAGTGCCTTCGTCAGAGAGCAGGGACTTTGTTTTGGGTGCCTCTGCAAGGGTCATCTGGTGAGGGAATGTGCGAAAAGGAGAACCTGCTCAATCTGCAGACTCCGTCATCCAACAGCACTGCACAACGACAGACCACCGCCAGAGCACGGTGTTCGAATCGTCTCTGACGGCCATGCAGGTAGTGAAGTGCCGCAGAACCCGAGTCAAGTCGTAACAAATGGCAGAGTGAAGCTGAGGAGCTCTTCCAAGACGTGTGCTGACTCGTCATCTACTATGATGTCTATCGTACCCGTGAAGATGTGGACTGATGGTGGCCAGAAAGTAGAGACGTACGCGTTTCTTGACGGAGGCAGTTCAGCGACGTTCTGCTCGGAGTCTTTGCTGAAGCAGATCGGAGCTGTTGGCGAAAACGTTAAGCTCTCAATGACTACCGCGTCAGTTGACAATCAGCAAGTGGACAGTCGTGTGATAAAGGGAGTCAAGATATCGGATCTGGGTGGAAGTACGTGCATTGCGATGCCTCCGATGTACACTCTCAGCACAATTCCAGTGAAACTAGAAGACATGGCGTCAAGCGAGGATCTAAACCAGTGGGTTCACTTGCAGGGCATTGATTTGGCGCGGATCGATGCTGAAATTGGTCTCCTGATAGGTAGCAACTGTCCTCAGGCGCTCCAGCCGCTAGAGGTAAGACGAAGTGAAGATGGTGGGCCGTTCGCGCTTCGGACTGAGTTAGGATGGGTGGTGCAGGGCCCAAGACGCGTTTGTCAGAACGAGAACGACAGAGTAAGAGTGAATCGTATCAGGGTTGTCAACGAGAGCTCCGATCTCCATCGCAGTTTCATGGCTTTGTACAACCAGGATTTCGAAGACCATGGTAGTTCTGTGGACGTCGGTCTGTCTAGAGAGGACCAGCAGTGGCTCAAGAAGGTGGAGACTGGAGTGCGCTTCATCAACGGGCACTACGAGTTACCAGTCCCCCTCAGAGATGAGCAGGTGTTTCCTAACAACAGACAGCAAGCAGAGCAGCGCGCCCAAGGTCTAAAGAAGCGGATGCTGCGTGATGAGAAGTATCTGAGGGACTACAGCAGGTTCGTCAGTGAGCTGATTGAGAAGGACTACGCGGAAAAGGTGTCCAGAGAGAGTTTGGACGCCTGCTGGGGTAGAACGTGGTATATTCCACACCACGGTGTCTACCACCCAGCGAAACCGGACAAAATCAGAGTAGTTTATGACTGCTCAGCGAGCTACCGAGGTGTGTCTCTCAACGATCGACTGCTTCAGGGGCCCAACTTGACCAGCTCACTTATCGGAGTGCTGCTGCGGTTCCGTCAGGAACCCTTCGCCATCATGGGAGATGTTGAAAAGATGTTCTACCAAGTTCGAGTTGCTGACAGAGACAGAAGTCTGCTACGATTCCTCTGGTGGCCCGACGGAGACGTATCTCGACAGTTGGAAGACTACCAAATGAACGTTCACCTGTTTGGTGCGACGTCGTCGCCATCCTGCGCGAACTTCGCGCTGCGAAGGACGGCTCAGGACTACGGAGGGCTGTATCAACCGGAGGTAGCAAGGTGCATACAGAGGAACTTCTACGTTGACGACTTTCTCAAGTCTGCGTCAACTGAGGACGAAGCAGCAGGGCTCGCGCTGGAAGTTCGTGAGTGCTGTGCCAGAGGAGGTTTCAGGTTAACGGGTTTTGTCAGCAACAGCTCAAGGGTGATGTCATGTCTCCCTGAAACAGATCGTGCTCCGAGTCACAAAATGGACCTCACTAAAGGTGTGCTGTCTCCGCAGAGAGCTCTAGGAGTACAGTGGGATGTCGATCATGACACACTCAGCTTCAGAGTGGAGGTACAGCGTGGTCCAGCCTCGAGGAGAGGAATCTTGTCCACTGTGAGTGCCATGTACGACCCCTTGGGATTTGGAGCTCCATTTTTGTTGCCAGCAAAGGTGTTGCTTCAGGACCTGTGCAGATTACAGCTGGGTTGGGATGATCCAATTCCCTACTCTCATCTCCAGCGGTGGAATCAGTGGTGTGAAGAGCTTGCAGACCTTCGAGATTTTTCCGTTCCGAGAAGCGTCGCCCCACTGCATGGTGAGGCTCGGAGTCGCCAGCTGCACATGTTCGCAGATGCGAGTGAAGTCGGGTATGGAGCAGTTGGGTACGTTCGAGTAGAAGACGCTGAGGGAAGGATTACGACATCCCTACTGATGAGCAAGTGCCGTGTAGCCCCATTGAAGACCTGCTCCATCCCTCGCCTGGAGTTGACGGCTGCCGCTCTGGCAGTACAATTGAGCACTCAAATACTCTCCGAGACAGATCTGCATTTCGATGAGGTGTGTTTTTGGACCGATAGCGTCTCAACGCTCCGCTACATACAGAACGTCACATCTCGCTTCCAGACGTTCGTGGCCAACAAGTTAGCCGTCATCCATGATGGCTCAAGTCCTAACCAGTGGCGATACGTCCCTTCAGAGCTGAATCCGGCAGACAGCTTATCCCGTGGTCAGTCAGGACCAGCGTTTCTTGCATCTCGCTGGGTTCTTGGCCCAGCGTTCCTCGAGAGCGCCGCCTGTGAATGGCCGGATCAGTCACAAGTCCAACAGCTTCAGGGCAGTACAGAGGAGCTTGAGATCAAGAAAAGCGTAGTCAGCGCCACCACAGCTACAGAAGGTGATGACTACACTGCACAGCTGCTGAACAGCACAAGTGACTGGTTCAAGCTGAAGAAACGTGTCGCATGGGTGCTTCGGTGGAAGCAGCTGCTGCAGAAGAGAGTAGCCGGCAGGAAGGAGTCCGGTACACGTGATGAAGATCTTCTTTCACCTAGGCTGTCCGTACAAGAACTTGAGATGGCAGAAGCTGCGATTCTGAGACATGTTCAAGAACAGGCGTTTCCTGAAGAAATGTCCGGTTCAGTGAGGAAGTCGAGCCGTTTGTTCCGTCTGAATCCTTGTGTGGTTGACGGAACTCTACGAGTCGGAGGACGGCTCGTAAACGCTCAGATTCCAGACGCTGCAAAACATCAGTTGATTCTTCCCAAGAATGGTCACGTCACTGACCTCATTATACGGGACATGCACGAGAGAAAGGGACATTCTGGAAGGGAATATGTCCTGGCTGAGTTGCGCCGAAGGTTCTGGATTGTGTCTGGAAGCTCTGCAGTACGCAGAGTTCTGTCAAGATGCGTTAGATGTCGAAAGATTCAGGGTTCGGTGGTGACACAGCAGATGTCGAACCTACCGGAAGACAGAACGGCGCCAGATAGTGGAGTTTTCAGTCGAGTTGGGACCGATTATTTTGGTCCGTTCTATGTCAAGGTGGGACGAAAGCAGATGAAGAGATATTGTGTGCTTTTCACGTGTCTCGCAACTCGGGCTATTCACATCGAGGTGTGCGAAACCCTAGATACAAGCTCTTTCATTAATGCTCTTCGCAGATTCCAGGCTCGGAGGGGTCAAGTGAAGTTTATCAGGTCTGACAATGGGACGAATTTCACAGGCGCTGAGAGAGAGCTGAGAGAAGAAGTCCGTAAGCTGCGAGAGAAAAGCGTTCATGACTGCTTACTGAAGGAGGGGATCACGTGGAAGTTCACCCCTCCAGGTGCCTCATCGCAAGGAGGTATATGGGAGAGACAAGTTCGGAGCATCAGGAAAGTCCTGAATGCGCTCCTCAGGGAGCAGACGATGACTGACGAGTCGCTCCGCACGCTGCTATGCGAAGTGGAGGCTGTGCTCAACAGTAGACCTCTAACGACGGTATCAAGTGACCCAGCTGATCTGCAGCCTCTCACCCCCAACGACCTGCTACTACTGCGTGGTGGTCCGGTGCCAGACGGCATCTTCAGCGAGAGGGACAGCTGCTTTGGTCGAAGGTGGAAGCAGGTGCAATATCTCGCCGACCTGTTTTGGAAGCGTTGGGTAAAGGAATACCTGCCACTTCTTCAGCAGCGCCAGAAGTGGGTCAGAACACGGAAGAACCTCTCTGTTGGTGACGTTGTTTTGGTCGTTGACGTGAACAGCCCGCGATGTCGATGGCCTCTCGGACGCGTATTGGAGGTGTTTCCGGACGGCGAGGGTCTTGTGCGTTCCGCTATGGTGAAAACGGCAAGCAGCGTCTTGAAGAGGCCGATCTCGAAGTTAGTGTTTCTCATGTAGAATAAGTAATGTGACGCACATGGTGCGCACATGGGGGCGGGTGTAGGCGGCGCCGCTGCGGCGCGCGGTGGAACGGGGGTGCTTGCTCCCAGTCGTGCGCCGCTCCGCTCAAGCCGGCTCGCTCTTCCCTCTGCCCCGGTTGCCTCCCCGCTCTGCCTGCCTGGAGAGCCGGGACGGCCGGGACTACCTCCCCTCGGTTTGCGAGTAGCATCGCCCATGGTCCTAGAGGTGGACATTTTCGTATGGCTTTTACTCTGTTTGTACTTGATTTTGCTGTACTTTGCGTTTTTCCGTTGTATCATTTGTACTATGTTGATTGTCGTAAACGACCAATTTGAAATGTATCGCGTGATTATTTGCTAGTTTGAATATTCGATGGCTCATTGTTCGTTGGCGTATTGTTAGAAGGCAATTTCTGCAATACTTCTCAGTACTCGTTTGCTGTGTGACGTGCCACCCGGCTCTATGCCCGGCCATGATTCTGGATCATTCGCGCTGATGGCGGCAGAGGCGGTCGTGTCGTGTCTGTGTTTGCGCGAGCGATGGTAAGTGGCTGAGCAGTTGTATTTCACTATGATGCGTTAAAATGTGTGATCTGTTAGCTCGTATAGATATTCTGTTGTCAATTTCATATAAGACGTTTCAGCGCCAATATGATTAAAACCGAGACTATGATATTTTGCACTGAGGTAAACGACAATGGACCTGACTGGTGTCTGGATTCGTAGATATGGCGTCGGAGATGTGAGGCTGGCTTGGGAGGATGCCTCTGGATGTATGGACGTTAGCCGCGAAGCGACCCAGAAGGCACATTTGTCGGTAGGTCACGAAATGTCACGAATGTTAGGAAAGGTCACGAAATGTCACGAATGTTAAGAAAGGTCACGATTAATTTGATGTCAGTACGCAGGGATGCTGTGTTATCTGTGGTAGGGCCCCTCACGGCCTGTTATGGTGTATCATTTATTGGTACGTTTAAGCCCTCTTTGTTTGCCCACCCCTTTCGTTTATTTATTGTACGTTTGGTGACGCTTATTTATACGTCTTTTGATTTGTGTATTGTGTTTCGTTCCCAGCAACGACTGTTACTCTCGAGATCGTGTGGGCTATCCACTCAGCTCACTCGGTCCAATAAACGGTCCGTTAAGACATACTGGATTTCGACACGCTGGGTCTGGAGATGCGGCTACAGATTGTTTCAGTGACCCTGAAAGGCTACATGCTGTGCAGCTGCGGATCAATAAAAAACAGAGAGCAGCTGCGCAAACATATTTTCTACACCAAGACCGAACACGAGACGGCCCACACCTCCTACGCCGTCGCCCTCCGGGACCATTTCCCGGATGTCCTGGTGCTCCGTGAGGGGCCTAACAACGAGACGTAAGAATGCTTACATATACTCTGAGATCCAATAAACAAACGACGTGCACAGAAACCTAAAAAATGAAGTAGGTAAATCTGAAGCAGAGATGTCAGTATTAGGCACATGATGGCGTTACGAAACACATGTTTCTTTCGTAGCATGAATTTGTCTCCGCCCAGGGTTTGACCAGAGCTTTAACCCCCGCCGTGCTGGGGCGTTTTTACCTTCTCCCCCTCCTCTTTCAGAATATACGCGGATGTCACAAAAACGGCGACGCGATTCTCCACATTTTTGGCACATCTTATCATGCATCTTTTCTCCATAGGTAGGCGAAATTTTAAGTCCAGGTCATCAAAGTTCAGGTCACCAGGTCGAGTTAAGTAACCCAACCTAAAACCATTGCATTAAAATCATCTCAAGCAGCAAAAACACAAAAAGTGGTGTTCACTAGTTATTTGCAACGAGCACCTCTACAATGAGCACTGGAGGTCGCGTGGCGTCATTATGGGTCACCAACAAGCAACAACTCTTCTCGATAACTCTCGCAATAACTTGCCTACTCCATGTCGCTAAGACGCTCAGAGGCCGGGTTTGAAAGGAGGTAAGCGCAAAAACGCTCCTAGCACTCCATGAAAAACGCCGACCACCAGCACGGCGCGGGTTAAGATCACCAGTTTGTCCTGACCTCTCCAATAAGTATGTTTTGGGAACACATATTTCTTATTCTTATTTAATTGCGTCATTACAGAACAGATAAGTCCGGCGCCCGCCTGCGATTACAAGGCTCGCTCAGACACCTGGCGGAAAGCGAACGCCGCGCTGGGCGCACATGTAAAGCGCCGTCATCCGGGCCTACCGAGGGACTACCTGAATCGTAGAAAAAACACGAGCGTGGTAAGTGACGTGTCCTGCACGGCTAATCAGTTAAGCACGTAATGCAAACCTTTCCATTTTTCACACAGCGCGCGCTTGGTTATGTGTTGATTAGATGTCAATCGGATACCAACTTTTTGGTATACCGATACCAAACCGATACAAACTTGGTATTTGGTATTTCAATACTTATGTTTTTGGTATTTTGTTGGTATTATGAATCCTTGGTAATGTCTAAGAGGCTGTGAATTTGGTTAAAGGTTGGTATTTCCCTCATGATCCAAAGATGGTTCCGTTTCGGTATTTCCTCACGGTTTTGGTTGGTATTTGGTTTGGTATCGGTATTCCGATTTTTTTGTATTTGACATCACAATCCTACCTACTGCTACACCACTATTTTGGCGCAATGCTAGAAAGCTATTATGCTATTAAAAGGCAACCAAATTGAAATTGAAGTTATATAATTGCTTGTAAATGTAATGAGTAAATAATGTAATGAGTAAATGAGATAATAAAGAAGATGATTTAAATATTTTTTTAAAATATATAACCTTGGAAACTATATTCTGGTAGGTTAAGTAGAAAATGGTCCGTGCAACCTTGTTTTTAGGGTCTTGTTCTAGCTATTGTCGATGTCGTCGAACGATGCTGGTTGGATCTAATCGAATGGCCTTAGCATCAGAAATGGATACGGTCTCTATGGTCAGCACGGTTGAAAGAATATTACCGACCACACAGAAGCGAGAATGGGTGTTAAGAATCGAAGCAAAAAAATGTGAATTCCAAGAAAATGTTAATGGAGCTCTTCGATTTTTTGTTGGAAGAATGACGTGTCATTAATTACATGGACCACGATTTACGCACAATAGGAAAATCACGAAATGTTCATCATAGTCACTATCAGAACAAACTCCCTGATGACCACAACACCCTTTTAAATAAGGTAAGGGGATTTGAAGAAAGGCATGCAGTTTGCCAAAGAAACAGCAGCTGACCTAAGAAATTGAGTTAGTAATTGCCTCGGTCATCTGCTGAACTTCGAACATCGAACCCAAAACTAACGATCATCGAACGAATCATCCTCCCCATCATCAAGTAAATGGTGCTGGGTACAAGTGGTAGAAGTAACTTCTACCCAAGGCTCCACTCTAAGGCTTCTACCCGTGCCATCGAAAAATGCAGTGCCTTCATAAACATGGCGTTGGAGAAAATACAGGAAGCGGTTCGAAAAGCAGAGGCGTGCTTCAATTGCCTACAACAAACCGGTCGTCCCCGTTCGAGTCGAAATTTGTGGCAAAATGCACCATTCCCTTCTACATAAGACGAATACAGCACTTCCAGCTGCACTGCGGGCCACAGCAGCCAACAAGACACATGCGGCAGACCACCCCATTCTCTGAACGATAACCATGGCGATAACCATGGCGACATGCAACGACAAAGGTGTTACGACCTTATGGGATTCTGGATTAGTGAAACCTACAGATCAAGTCATAAATCGCAAAAACTAACAGTAAAAGAAAAATATGCACGAATGTGCAGCTGCAGCTAGGCAGTGCGTATACGAACCTGCCCCACAACGTTATTTGTAATATATTTCAAAATTTGTTGTTGAAAAAATGGCACTTCAACAAACAAGTTTGCAGCAGTTCCGTGAATAGAGTGAGCTTCTTGGTCACAATTTTGAATAGCTGAACCACATTTCCGAGTCAGGATCACGAAAATAGATGATAGGTATGAGCTAAGTTTGGAAAGCTCAGTCACAAATATTACCTACAAATTTGCGTTTTATAAAGCATGACAGCAAGTGCAGTGTTGTCTTCTACAGTGAACGAAGGGCAGCAATGATAAGACATATTTCCATAATTTATCTTGAGCTCGTGCAGTGTTCCCATAAACTGCTGTAAGCGAATGTGCCCTATCAGGTGGGTGACTGCACGTGATCGTCTGAGGCGTTGGGGGGGGGGGGGGGTAAAAATATTTCCTAGTATATACTAGAATTTAACTGTCATCTAGAAATAAAAACAACTAGAACTGAGAGGTTATAACTATATACCGAAAATTATCCCAGAATATGGCTGTGCTCAAGCGCGGCGCAGCAGGCGCTAGCGTTTCGATACATTGCGCTTAAAGGTAGTGTGCCAGCTTTCCTGGACCGTATGGAGTTAATGGCCCAGATAAGGAGAACCGGATTTTTAGAACTTATCCATACCTTCAAAACTCATGGAAACGTCTTAAATTCTTCAAATTTTGAGTACCCCAGTGCGAAATTCGCCCCGACGGGTTGTCGGTCGTACCCCAACCACATTTCACACCACTATGAACAATAAATGCACACACTGAAATCGCTATTACCGATATGCTCATCCAGTCAAGTTTCGATAAACCCGTTCATCATCAGCTCCTGCGGTTTCGAACACGCCTGTTAGGTGGTGCGGTAGACCGCGCCCAAAGCCAGGGCCCCGGTAACGTGAGGTAGCCGAGTCAGGGCAGCGTGCGCTGACCCAAGCCGGAGCCGCGCGTCCTCCCGGTGTCATGTGATAGCCCGGGGCTGCCCGCGGGGATGCGGTAGACCGCGCCCAAAGCTGCGGCCCCGGCTTGGGTCAGCGCACGCTGCCCCGACTCGGCTACCTCACGTTACCGGGGCGCGTATTCGCCAATTGTATTACACGAATCGGCCAACCAATAGCTTGCCTCCTGAGTGACGTCAGCGTGGCGTCATACTTTCGGTCCTCGCCCTGGTGGCGTCTATTGAAGCTAGGTTTTAACTTATTGACATTTAAGCTACATGGGGTACATTATCGCCGTGGCGAAGTGGTTAGAGTATCGGATTGGTGATTCAGAGGTAGGTGGTTCGAATCCACTCGGCGACTTCGATTTTCGTGTCATCTGTCATTGTGCGTTTTTTTATACATTTGTAACGGCGTGCACCTAAGAAATCAGACGTAGGCATTCTTCTAATGAATATGTTGCATAAGATAGATATTTGCAGTCCAACCGATTGGTTCGGTTTCGGTATTTTCCAATGGTCTTTGTTTGTATTTGGTTTGGTAGCGGTGTTCTGATTTTCTGTGATTGACATCACTAATGCATAGTGCATACTATGCGAACGTAGCCAATGGAAAGACAAATGGTGCTCGGCGATGGCCATTCATTGATCAATATTTCTCACTGCCAATGGGTGATAGCACGCAGCATTGACAGGGGCGGCGCTGACCTTTTGAAAGTAGGTGGGCACTTGGCAAGGTAAAGTACCTAAAAGTAGCGAAACCTAAGATGAAAAGTAAAAATCGCACGCTGGTAAGCAGGCTATTAGATAGCTTTTCGTGTAAGAATCACCATGCACAAAAAAGTTCGGCATAGCTGTTAGCGTAATCACGGGACGAGATAATCAGTTTCCAGCCGTCAGAGCGTCATCTATAGGAGCTATGCCCTAACTATAACTTTTACATTTCAGCCGCCAGGGGGATACCTAAGTCCTCTTACTTGGAATCTAGTTAAAGTCAAAAGATTTATATTAGACGTTTATGAAGATAACTTGGGACTGGTTGTTAAGTTGCATGCTCACGGCGGGCTGTCATCAATTTATCTCTATACATGTCTTATCTGATCGATGAAATAATACAGGAATCCGTTGTCATTCGAGTGTGTTTCATAATAGCTCTTCCGACTTTGACGAATATCCACAGTGCCGTAACAAAATTGGTAGTTCAGGTATAGACTGCAACTGCAGTTCTTTTGCAACTTATTCCTTAATCAGATGAACACTTGTCAGAGATTTATTGGGCGTACGATATTGGCGTGCGAACGTAGGAGCCAAAAAAGCGCGTCTACGACCGACTTCTTTTTAAGAGAAAAGAACCGCTGAAGCAAGAATCGATCCACCGACCTGTCGTCCATCACACTGAGACTC